ATTTCTCTGCTCTAGTCTGTTTTAGCACCCGCTTCCAAATCTGCTTGGTTTTCATACACTTAAATATTTATGTATTTAAATAGCTTGCTAAATTGTGTTGAGACTTGTAGTCAAACAGAACCTCTCAATTCACCTTTCCACGCTGGCTCTGTGCAATTCAGTGCCTATTTATCTCTGCCTTTTAAAATCAGCTCTTTTGCTGAGGAAGGCCTTTCAAAGGATGTTGCATCAGCCCATTGTTAACTAAACCTTTAGACATTTATAATGGATTCAGCATTTCCTGCTTTTTACAGCTCCAAGAATGCTGAATGACGTGCAGACACACTTCATCAGGATAAGATTGCTGTATCAGCCCCTCACTAAAATGCACTCATTATTCAAATAATGGCTATATGTTTCCAGCATGTGTTCTATGAAATACGTGTACACGATGTGAGAAAATGTACTGGCCCTTTTTTCAGCGTGCAAATCCTGTCTTTAGCAGTGAGCTGAAGTACTTTGGACTGAGCCCTGTATGAATTTCACTGCTTAGAACATGGCACCTGCAAAGGGATTTGGTCGTTATATTGGACAGCATGTTCTAATATTCAGAAGTCCATAAACACGGTTTACGAGGGTGACTGACTTAATTTAGAAGCTTAAATCTGTAATAAATCCCATTGGAAGAAGAGTGTGGGCAGTGGGTGAGTGGGATGCTTTGGAAATGCTCATCTTTATCAGCACCGAGGCCTGCTGGAGTCAAGTGGGAGGAATGGTGGGTCTGTGGTGTCGCAGAGACTCAGAGAACATGCTGGGGAGGGGACAAATATGGGTCAGCAATGACAAATGCCATAAATACACCAAGTAAATCTGATCTCTAAAATAAAATTCTGTTTCTTCTAGCTGTCAGGGGATGAATTTGTAGTTTTATATTCCTCCTGTCACCTCAAGGATCTTGAAATAGTTTGTACAGAAGAGAAGACTGGAGAGGAGCACATTTGTTGCAGTGCTGTGGGTGTTTGCTATGTCATTAGCACTTGGAGGAGAGCCGCCATCTTGAAGTCCTGTCCAGGCAGGTTGGAAAGTAGGGCTGAGAGAAGAAAGAGACTCCATTTAATTAAGCACTAGATGAAAATCCGTGTTCTTCTTTCCTCTCCTTCTCAGATGGTAAACAGCCATGACAGTGTTTATTTTGGGAAAAATATTTGCATTTGACCTTTTGGGCTATTTGCGTATGTGGTCATTCTGAAATTATTCTATATACTAGATGTGCCCGGATCGTTCTCAACTGACAGTAATGAAGCTAGGCTGAAATTCACACTTGTGAAGTAAGAGAGGAGAAAAGGTTCTGGATAAATGCTATCAATTTAGGATGAGAGCAAGAGGCTCCAGTGTGTTCTGAAAAGAGAACATTGCATAGTCAAAATGTTAAGTACCTGTTTACATGTTTTATTCACGAGTTGTGGACTCTGACACCACTCATTATTCTGCCCTTTCCAGTGTCATAAAAACCTTGGATAACTCAGATTTTTTTTATTATTATTATTTTATTTTATTATTTTTTTAAAGAAAAAAACAACAAGTTTGGCTTCTTTTCAGATTGCTGATAGATTCTGTGTAATGGGGCAGTGACTGGGGCTGATGATGGGGGTTGTTAACCCCGAGGCTCTGAAGGGCTGCAGGTCCCTCTTGTGCAGTTTCCAGCCTAAGAGATGCAATGCAGTGGTATGGGACAGCCTGTTCTCCCTTTGCTCTCAATGCTGCTTAAAGGAGCTAAAGTGCTGGAGCTGATCTGGGTTATTTGGTAATAAATGGGGAAATACAGCGATGAGCAGGAATTTAAGCAACCTTTCTCCCTCTTTACTGGAAAATGTTTCTACTAACTTAAGATATTTGTAATAAATTTAGCTCAGCCAGTTACAAAAAATTATTGATAAAAACTGGAGTTTAGACAGCAAGACTCAATTAGTCCAGAAAGTGGGAAAAGCCTGCAGAAGGCATGGATGGGAAACGAGAGAGAGAGCAGGACTGGAAGCTGATAGAGCACAACAAGAGGCTGTTCCATACTGGATCCATTCTTGGGACTGTTCTTTGCCACCCGTAGCAAGAGGACAAGTGAAGAGACAGAGCTGAAAATCACAGAGTATGGCTTTGTGCTTGTACTGCCTCCATGCTGTTTATTTCCTCCTTCAGTTCTGCTGCTTTTCTGCTTTCTTTTTCTCTGCTTTCTGTCTCAGCTGCAGACCATCAGACCTGTGTGCCCGGGGATGCAGTGGCTGTGCAATGCCAGGCTGGTGCCAGCACTGCCCATGGGCTGCACAGCGTGTGCTGCTTCGTGTCAGGCAGGTGCAGCTGCACACAAGGAAGGCTCAATCAACACATTCCTCATTCTTTGCTCTCTTTGCTGTTCTCTTCATCCTTATTCTGTGAGGACCTCTTTGCTTGTGCTGTGCTGCCTTCAGAAAAGCAGAATTGGATGCCATCAAGAAGCTGCTTTGGCTTATCTCAACTTTCTTTTTGCCCTGAAAGAGACATAAATAACATTTTTAATATTCTATGTGAGATCGGCAGGCAGGGACATTTTCCTTGCTGAAACCCCAATAACTGAAAGAAACAAGCAACAGGGTGTTTGTTTTGTTTTTTAAATGAAATATTTAATACCTTAGCTGTTTTATGCCTTTCTTTCTTTTTTTGTAAAAGATGAGATTTTAATGTCAATGAGATTTTAATGTCAATAATTCGTAATGGCACAAAGTTGTGCCTTGATCTGAACCTGAGACTCTCCAGCAGCTCCAATCAGTGCCGTGCAGCACTGCCCCACTGGGGCTGGTTGGTGCCACGATGCTCGCGCTGTGCCCACCTCTCCCAGGGGCATCAGATTTACAGCCCACTAGTTTTGGTGCATGAGAATTCAGAGGGCGCAGAAATGGCTTCAAACACCATTACAGGCCCTGTGCCCTTCCCTCCTTGCTCTGACAAACCCAGCAGAATCTCACTGTGCCGCTACAGAGCGTTACCTGGCACGGATTTGTCACTGCTCTATCTCAAGCAAGATGTGCACTGATGATTTCACTGCAGCGCTCACTTCAGCATGTGTGCATTTGTTCTCCCATCTCCCTTTTCCATTTGCACTCCATTTCTCCTCTCTGTGCAGCAAACACAGGTGACCCCTTCTCACAGCAGCAGCATCTCGTTGGCCCTTCCCCTCCACCCCCCTTCTACCTGCAAGCCAGCAGTGATTTATCTGCTTGTGTTGGTGAGCAGGTGGCTCTTGGACTCAAGGCTGAGCCTGCTTAGAATGTGATAAATAACACATTTACCAGCCCTTCCATCTTCAAATGCAGTCCGAAAGCAGCAGAAAATTCGAATAGCAGACACATCCAGCCTTCAGCAGATGTGGGAACCAAGAGATATGATGAGTTCTTCCCTGCTAGAAGCAGGGTGGAATTGAGGGCTGCTCCTCATGCTGGTACCTTTTATTCACATTCCTGAACTATCTGGAGCGCTTGCTTTATCCGCAGCCATCTGTGATGGGCTGAGCTGGGAGAGATAAGCTCAGTAATCAGAAAATTGAAGGAAGCATTTCTGGCTGTGATAATCTTATCAGGCAGCTAATATACATTAACATTTGTACAGCTTGATGATGCAGGTGGGCCTTGCTTTATTTTTTCTTTTTCAGGATGCCTTTTGACAGGGAAGGGAGAATGCAGGGATTTGGGGTGCCAGAGAGAAATTTAGCCAAAAACTCAGCTCTACCTGCTCCAGTGCTCCAATGCTATGCCCTTGGAAATGGGAGGGAGAGTAATGCAGCCATCCCCTTTCTGCCCTTTCTTGCTAACAGTGCTGCCATGTTCTGTCTGCCTTTCCTGGCAAATATGGAAGGGCAAAGAGGCAATGTGTCAGGATTTCAGTTCTGTCTGAGTAGTAGTTGTGAAACTGGGGAATTTCTATTAACTTGCTTCTGTTGCACAAAGTTCATCTTTCCAATGTGATTTTTCTCTACCAGTCCAATCAGTGCCGTTCAAGGGAATTATTTCTCTGATATTGAGCTGTCTGTGGTCATAAGTTCTGCATCGCTAATTAGGGCTGAACTGCTATTGTTTTTCTTCTGTGTGGCAAAAATACAGTGTTTGTCCATGGATTTATGAGAGGAATTAGTTATCAGCTGCAAAAGACAGAGGACAAGGAGGTCCAAACTCTGCATGAGGAGATCTAAGCTGGGAGAGGGTGCTGGAATAGAAGCTGCGTGTCCTCTAAGTACTTTTTCTACTTACAGTTTGTGGTAAGTTGCTTCCTGAGAGGTCTAGGAACAAGTAATGTAATCATCTGTGCCTTGTCTTGATAGGTGGGTTAGGGGTACAGTCAGAGAACATGGGGATGGTTGAGTCTGGGTAAGAAGTTTTCATGTTTGTGAATTTTGAAGTATTTTCTTGCGGGTTCTTCCCAAACAAGTGCAAAGGCAGAAAGTCTCTTAATTGCTTCTTTGTTCCACCAGACCTACCTGAGCAGCTTGAGCTAGAAATGTATATTGGAAAGTGCTGGTAATATTCCCCTGTGTCTTCCATTCAGTGTGTGTGTGTCAGCCTTGTCCTGGATGAGACAGCATAATCCTGTGGTTTGTTTCTTTATGGGAGGAATTGATGCTAAATGAGGTTGAACTGTCAATACTTAATCTTGGGTGCCAGATAGCTCCTAATAGCACACTAATAATTTTCTGCATCCAATTATGCATTAGGGATGGGTTGGGGGAAGTCTCTAAAAAAGAAACAGGAGCTCAATGTAGAAAACAATCAACTTTTTGTGCCTCATCTGCCTCAGAGAAAACGTTGGGGAAAGGCAAAAGGGAGCGTGGAGAGGAGAAGGATTAACTGAGGTTGTGGCATTCAACGCATGAGTTATCAGTATCCTGAGAGGGGTCTGACCTGTGCAAGATGTAATGGTTCCTTCCTCCTTCCTTTGCTCTCCTCACGTCTTCATTTCCCCATTAGCACTGAGGAACTCATACCTCTTCTCTTTTGCAGCTGGAGGTGGAGATGAAGGTCCTGAAGTCTCGAGAGAGCACTGCAGAGCAGAGTACCTTCATCACCAAGGAGGAGGTTGATGCACTCAGGTGAGCAAAGCAAGGGGAAAGCTGGAAGGTTCAGCAGCTTTCAGAGGGACTAAGGAGAAGGAAAAGCCCAGGCTAGTTTCACTGTCTGCTAATGTTACTGCTGTCCTATGGTGGAGCACCAGATAAGAGACCTCATCATGCTACGCTGCCATGCTATGTATGCAGGCACTCTTACTCAGGGAGGAGCCAACTAACCTTGATTAGAACGTGTTTTCCTTGTATTTCTGAAGTGGTATTTCTTTTCCTGAGCACACTTTTTTACTTCCCTGCCTGTTCTTATGGACATAAGAAAGCTGTGAAGCATTAGCAGAAAGCCTCAGCCCCTGATTTTTCCTGCGTTTACATCTTTACAAGCTTTATTTTTTTAATCTTTTGAGAGTCTGCTGGCTCTTCTCTTTTAATATATTTGGGGTCTCTTGCACTCATAAGACTGGCTTCATAAGACTGGCTCCTGCATTGCTATTCCCTTTATTCCTTCCCTGTGGAAGGAGCACTGCTGTTTTTTTCTTATTTTGACCAAATCTGGACTGTAAACATAGGGTCTGTTGGCATGTATGTAAAGAGGTTTAGAATTGAGCTTTTGTAATACTGATGTGCATGTAGCACTGGAGATAAAAGAGGGATGTTTCCCCTGGTGCATTGCTGCAGATGGCTGAGGGGTACCTGTTGTTATTCAGTGAAAGAGAAGTTACAAAACAGCATTTCAGCAGAGGATACACAAGCATTAACAAAAGCTACAGGGAAGCTAGACAACCTTTCCATGTATTTATTAAAGCATTTACAGCTTCCATTCCAAACCAGGTGACACAATAAATACTGAGCATAGAAAAGTTCATCTGTTTCTGAATGTTTAATAAAGTTCCTTTTATTTAAGCTGAGCAAATCAGATCTTGACAGGAGGAGTTTTTTATTCTCAGCTGATGTAAGACTTTGGCTGGAGTTTCACTTCTTAATTCTTTTATATTTTCAGCTCCATCACTATAAAGTGTTACTGCCTCTTAGGACTGAAAGTGGGTTTTTGCAGCAAGCAGAATCTTGCAGAAAGCAGAAATTACTGTCCTGCGTGTTATGACTTTGCTCTTGTGCCTTGCCTCTGGAGCTTGTTTTACGGCTTTGAAAGCCCAGTTCCATAGCAGAGGGAAGGTATTGGAAAATAACACATGTTCGGCTAAGCTCTTCCAATACGTTTTAAGGCTATAAACCTAATCACAGGACTCACTCCTGGAGTATAGTTCCCTCAAGGTGGTGTAATAGTTCTGAAGACCCAAGGCATACATCTCCCTTTTTTAATTTCATCATGCATGTGAGTTCTGGTAGAAGATAATATGCTCTAACTTGCCTTTTTCAACAGAGTAAACCTGTCTCCATCTACTTTTGCTTACTGCGGACGTTTATTTGACCTGAGCTCATTCAACTTTTCCCTTTGAGGTGCAGCAGACCCTCTGAAACCCGATGTTTATGCTGTTGCAGAAGTATTCAGCACCTCTGCAGCAACATTAAACCCATAGTTCCTGATTAATTTTATGCCTCTCTATCAGTGAAGCCAGCATCCTGTTTGCTGTCTTCTGGGAGCTGAAGGTTTTCAGAATGTTTCTAAAGCAACTCCTCGGTCTCTCCCTCCCTGGGCTGGTATGGGCTGCAGCACCTTTCATGGAGGGAGACGTTCAGTCTCTTTGTTTCCCCCTCCAAGACTCATTACTCAGTGTTTATCTTCACTGAACAGCATTTTTTGCCATCTATTAATGGAGCAGCTTCAGGGACAGCGTGCGTAGGGGGGAGCAGCCGGATTGCCACGTGGTCTGGGACCGCTCCGTACTGCTGGAGGCTCTTGGCACAGAGAATGGAGATGTCTGGCTTTGTTCTGAATTAAAATCTATTTCCCGAGCAGGCACAAGTGGAACTCACAATTACCCACTCATTATGGCGTTGTGGTGTTAGAGTGTGCTCATGGGTAGCCCTCAAGCCCTCTAGGTCATGTTTTTCACTCTCTCCTTTTGTTTTAAAAGAATTTCTTTGATGCTAATCTCATCTCTCTTCTCCTTTCATGAAATTGTGTCAAAGCCTCCTCACAAAGTATGACAGAAAGACAAGCCTATTCCCAGTAAAGCCATTAATGATGTGGAGCTATTTTCCAGTCCTGAGCCGTACACTGAAGGCTGTTTAATCAAAGCAGCTGAGCTTCTGGACTGGTTTCGCAGTGATATTTTGTCTTGCCTTTCCCAGTTCAGTGCCGTGTGCTCCTGGGGCTACGGGTGCACAGAGACCACAGTCCCTGGATCTCATTCCGTGCTGTTTTTTGCTTTTGCTTTTTACTGAATTGCATTTAGTTGTTACAGTAGACGAGCTGATTTAAATACTTGTCCCCGGCCTTGATGCTAGTCATTTAGCTACAAAGCTGTTCTAAAAAGCAGGCATTTGTTTGTTTTTAATCACTCTTTTCACTGCTCAGCTCTTGGTTTCTAACAGTAAATGACTGAAAAAATGTTCTCTTTTAGCTGGAGCAGTCCTTGCTCACAAGCTGGTAAGCCATTGCTTGCTCTTTTTTCCATGTTTTGGCTACCATTGCAGCTTTGCTCTTTTCACACTCAGACGCTCCATCCAGCAGCACACATGCTTCTCTGCACTGTAGGACAAACTCTGAATAAAACCTTTTTGCTTATGGTCCCAGACTTGAGCAGTCAAAGGTTCAGCATTATTTTGTGCATTTTCTGTGCACTGGACGTGAACCTGGGCCAAGCTTGCTCTTCACAGAAGAGGCTCCTTGTCAAAGCAGCACACAGTAACTCGCTGTCTTCCCCCCACGTTGGGGTTCAGGAATGATTCTCGGTGATCCATGGCAGAGCCCTTCATGTGACACAGGATGAGCCCCCTGTGTGCAGTGGAGACCGACTGGGTAGCTGTGATGGAAGAACAGAAACACTTCAGAGGAGAAGATCGCTATGCACAGGGATTGGGTCTGCTGTGCATGCCCACCTGCTGTGCCATCGGGCCACAAGTGTTTACTCAGTTTTATGTAGCTGCTAAGTTGGAGCTGGCAACATGAGCTCCACTGCTTCTCGTTTCATCTACAGACTGTTGCCAGAAATTAGTTCTGGCAGAAAATGGGGAAGAAGAGTACAAACTTTGCAAATTGGTTGGTGGGGAAAGAAATCCCATAGCTTATGACAGAGCTATTTCCATTTCTGTAGTTTACTGTGTTCTTTGAAAGCTCATTAACCTACAGTACGATGTGTCTGCTCTTCTGGACTGGGCCCAGCCACTTCAGTTAGCTGCTGTCATGAAGGAACGTGAAAAATAGAGGAAAACCAGGAGAAGCCAGCAAGAAGAGTCTGCAGAGCAGGGCTGTGAGCTTCAGGCATTTCCATATACACCCTGTGGTTGGGAGCTAACTTCTGAAAACAAAAGGAGAGGCATAAAGGGGAAAAAAAAAATCCATATTAATTCTTTGAATCTGTATTCACCTCTTGTGAGTGAATGAGAGCTTTTAAAAATATACTTTTGTTTCATTTTTTCTTTAGTATGGAAAGTAAATTTTCAGCAAGAGGCTTGAAAGACTTCATCAGTTTTTCCTCCTGCTCTGGAGAACAAAGTGCTCTTTCGTCAGACCTTTTATAACTTTAAATGTGAAACTCTCTCCCAGCATCATTGTTTCTGAAGAGACCATAAAAGCCAGTGCTAATGCTGTCATTCTTCACACTTCTTGCTGCTCCCTCTGAAATTCCATTTGTTTATATTCTGCAGATCTTACGAAAGGAAAAAGTGGTCAAATTGTTGAGTTCGTGTACTGTGGGGTATAGCAAAGCACAGAGCATTTAGGCATTAACACCTTTTAGGGAGAAGATGATAGCTGTGCGGGAACTAATATTTCAGAACTTATAAATAAAAGAAATCTATTAAAAAAAAAAAAACACCAAAAAACTTCACCGAAGACTTAAGCAGCAACAGCTGAAGGACCTTTTCAGCTGGAACAAATCTGAACTTTTTCACTCTGCTGTCAAACTACAGCCCCAGTAAATCCTAAATGTTTTCTGTGGATATAGTGACTGGGTAGAGTTACAGTAATTCAAAAGAAATTCGTGTTCTTGCCAATGCCTATTAGTCACACTTGCTGGAATTCTGTCTGCTCTGCTCCTAACACCATCTCAATGCCATCTGGATCCCTTAATAGCGCCTTCCCAACACATACATTTTCTGCTCCATTCAGTAGTTTCTTGTTCAGCAATAGCATTTCCACATGGCCATGGCCTCTTCACAGATGGGGCCTCTGTGAGACATGTCCTCATTGGTGATACCCATGCTACTTTACAGGCAATCGTGTACCACATCTATGAACATTAAAAGCAAATAAAGATGATGGAGGAGTGACAGTGGTGAGTAGGCAGTGGTCAGCACCTGGGCTGAATGGGATGTTTGGAAGTGCGTGGATGCTGTTGAGAAATTCTGAAGCTTACCTTCTTTTTCTTTCCATTTATTTTTTATTTTTTGCTTCTTCCTAAAATGAACAGCCTGGCCTTTCTCTCCAGCAGCTATTGCTCACCACCTGAGCGCACTGCAGGCAGACTGAACACACAGGATGTGATATCTCCTGATTCTCTCACAAGTGTCGTTTCAGTAGACGTGAAGCTGCAGCATGTTTTTTTGTGTTCAATCTTCTAATTTGGGACAGTGAAACGTGCAGTGGAGGCAATATAAAGCACAGTTTTAGGGAAGGGGGAAAATCTACAAGTCTGAGCAAATGCCAGCTTATCAGTATTCTCGCACTACATTCGATCTTGCAAAAGGCTGAGGAGATGGCTGCCTTTGGAACCTTTGCTTCTAGGTTATCTGCATTTCATGCAGGAAAAGTCTTCCAGAAATATGATGAGATCTTTCTCACAGTTTAGATATTTTCAAGAGAATAAGTTGGTAAATTTTACAAATATTGATCTGGATGATTTTCCCCGTATCCCTAAAGTTGAGAACGGTGTCAGTATTTTGGAAAGTAACTGATGTTTCTTCCTCCCTTATGCCACAAGGCTGCTTTTAAAACGAGCACTGGCATTCATTCTTGGACGGACATTCAGTTGATAGATGGTTATGCTGTACCCCGGTGTTTCTGTACTCCACATTGTGTTCTTCTCACATGGATGTATCTTGGATTGTTCTGCCTACCTGGAAGTAACTCCCAGGTGTAACAAGTGGAGGCATGCAAATTGGTGATAAAATAGCATCACTGATCTTCCTGCAGACGTCCCTGGACAAGAGAGCATGTGAGGTGCATGCAGACTAAGGCTGCCTGCACTGATGCTGGAGCATCCAGAAGCAGTGTGTGGTTGGCCCTGTACCTGAATGCACTTAAAAGAAAAACTCTGGTGCCGAGCATGTAAATATTTTTCAATATTTAACTGCTGTATCTTAACCACCAGCTGCAAATGCTTCGCTGTGTTTATATATAGATAGGATCTCCCTTGCTTCTCTCTCTTTGCCACTGGGGAGTGTTCCCCAGGGCTTGTAAAGCAAAGCTAGAACAGCACAAACTGTTTCCTAACGGCTCTTAATGCTTTCCCACTGCAGATCCAGGACACTTAACAGCGTTAAAAATAGGTTAGAAGAGGGCTAAGTTGCGAAAGCACTGGTGAGTCCTGAAAACCTCCCCAGCACAAAGAGGTTCCAGCAGTGTTCCCAGCCCTCCTGGAGCTTTGGCTCCTCAGGTGAGCAGGGCTGAGCTGTGCTGTGAGGCAGCCCGATGCCTGCCTGGGCAGATACAAAGGGCAGGAAGGAATGAACCCATCTTAAAATTGCAGGGGAAATATTTAGAAATGTAACTGCTCGAAGCCTTCCCTTGTCACACCTTGCTTGTCCCGCAGGTCCTTCGCAAATGTTTTCTGGTGATGGCTGTGAATGGTTTTTAGATAAGGGCCTGAGCTCTGTGCAGAGTGATGTGCAGGCAGGCAGCAGCAGCACCACAGCTTGTCTGGGGGCTGGATGGGGAAGATTTGTTCTAAATAAAACGTCAGCCTGTGCAGTATGGAGAAGGCACTGATGGGAGTCCTGTGCCTGCCTCTCACCTTTCAGGAGCTGCTTTGCTGTTCTTCCTCACAGAAGGGTGTTGCAGTTCTCGTGCTGTGCTCAGCAATCCATTTAGATGCACACCATTAACAGCATTAATTCCATTTTTTGAATTTCCATTTTTTCCGACCTTTTCAGTCTCCCGCTCCTTCAGCATCCTCCAGCCCTGCGAGCTTAGCATCTCTTCTGGAAATTATTGATGATCTTTTTGAGTGGCCTCGATGATGCTAAAAGCTGTTCATCTGTGTCTTAGAAGCGTCCAAGAGAGAAAACGATGATCCTTTATAATATCTGAAAATTACCAGCAGGGGTCAGGCTTACAAATAATTTAAGCAATTGAAGCTGCATATTTATAACGGAGACGTTTCTGTGCTGAACGTGTAGATCAGCTGGCTTCTGAGGAAGGGTTTGTAGCGTTTCCCTCTCCTGCCCTGTTTCTAGGGGAGATGACTCCTCACTTGTACCTGAAATTTCTGTTGCACAGCTTCTGGGTGATGGCAGATGGACATATTGTTTATTGTCACGGTGCAAAGATTTTCAGCTTAATTTAGATAATTTAAAAGTGTGTGTTATCAAGCAAGATAATTAATTTAAAAAAATTACTCTGGAAAAACATTCTCTGAAAATTGGACTCAGGGATCAATGTTAATATGTATTAAATGCACGTTTAATCACTAGAAGTTGAAATGAGGAAGCTGGATTCTCACAGTGTTGAAGTTCACGTACTCTGTGCTGAAATGCAAACAAAAATGTTATATTGAACGTTTTATAATAATTTCTCCTGCATAACAAGTTTAATAGAGCTTTCTGGAGAACTGAACAACCATTTGACTAAAGCTGATATTGTTGATACAACATATTTGACCTTTCAAAAAGCTCTGAGACAAAGGTCTCAAAGAAACTTGAGTGGAATAAGAAAGAAGGTTTTCTGTTGGATTAATAAGAATTAAGCCCCGCAGAGGGTTGGCCGTCCCACTCTACTGTCTGCACTGGTGGCCATTTCTGGATGCCCCTGCACGTGTGGCAAAGCTACTGGGGAACCTTGTCAGAAGGCTCTCCTAACTTCTAATGTAATGTCTCTAGGATTTTCTGGCTCAGAAATAATATCTTTATGATTTGTAAAGCTTGATACGTTTTTCTTCCATTAATTCGTGTCGTGCAAAGTTAAAAGATGGAAAATCAAAGAATAAATGTTCACTGGGTTTTCCATGAGATCCTAGAATGCTTTGTGTTGAGAATTTTCCAGCACAAAGAAGCTTGTGAGTAGTGAGGAGACAGTTTGAGGTAATATGAAATGATGCCACTTCTCAGGCTGCTGATAGTTCAGAAGGATCTCATACTTCTCGATAAAATGGGACATGAAGTTGAATGTCAATAAATGTAAAACCCATGCACATAAGAAAAAACACCTTTACTTTTACTTGTGGAATAGAGGGCCCTAAACGAGCTGTTATTGCTCAAGAAAGTGATCCTACATTACTGTGAACAGTGTTCTGAAAATGTTAAGTAAGTTCAGAAGACAAATAGAATGCTAGGATTTAGAAGCTGGGAAGAAAACAGCTTCACAGTACTGAACACATCAGAGTGCTGTTTGTAGGTCTAGCTCTTCTCATAGCAAGAAGTCCGTGTAAAACTGGGGAACAGCAAGGATGGGCAGAAACATGGAAAGCCTTTAATGTGGGGAAAGAGTAAAGTGAGATTCTTCAGGAAGTGATGGGGGAGATCTGTAAAGTAGTTCAGAGAGGGGGGGATGGGACAATTATTCACAACTTCTCATAGCAGAACTAACAGGCGCTCAGTGAAATAATCACATGTGAAATATAAAACAAAATGAACTAATTTTTCATACAGCACATAATTAAATTTTGGAACTTACTGCCAAGGAGCGTTGCAAAGGCCAAAAGTATAAATCAGATCAAAAAGAGATGTGACACATGCGTGGAGATTTCAGCTGTTGGTGGTTATTGAACATGATCATCTTGACTCATTCTCTGGTTCAGGAAGTAGCTAGGTTGAATTTGCCTTCTGTTCAAGTTGTGTGTTTTGACAAAATACTTCTGGAATTTAATTTTAATCATGCAAACTTGGATCTTTTAATTGTAAGTCTGAACTATCCCAGTAGTGTAGCTTTGTGATACTGAATACAGGAATCATCTGCCACTGTATGTGATTTCATTTTGTAACGTGACCATTTGTGGATGGACTGGGCAAGGACACAGTGTTGACTGTCTTTCCTCTCCCCTCCAGGCTGAAGATTGAGGAGCTGGAAGCTGAACGCAGCAAGCTGGAAGAGCAGAACAGATCTCTGGAAATGAAACTGGAGAAGCTAACTATGCAGGTAGGAAAATGGGAAGTTCAGTGTGGCTGGAAAGCATGCTACCTTCCATTCATTGTAGCTGTTCTAACAACTGTGCCAGACTGAACCGTTCAAGTTTATTTCCCTCAGTTTGTGCAGTGTGTTTTTAGGAAGACTGTGCAAACTGCACCAACGTACCTTTACCTGTGTGTCTTGGAATCCTGTTGGTGTTGGATCTAGTCACACAAGTGCAGTTGTCTTTTTCAATATGTTTGTCTAGAACCTCTTCTTTTTCTTCACAAAAGCCTTAAAAGCTGCTCCATGTTAAATACCACCATTGCCTTAAGTCATCAGCTCACAGCTTCAAGCAGCAGCTTATACACAGGGCTAAATAGTAGGGAGTTGTGCAAATTGGAAATCCATGCGTGCTGAAGATTCCACTGCTGTTCCCAGGGATGGAAATGGAGACCACCAGTTTGTGACCTCATTAGGTATCAGTTTTTCAAGCCCATAAGTATGAGTGCTGTTGAAAAGGTGAGATAACGATATCACCAGAGCACAGACAGTGAAAGGCAGGAGGTATGGAGTCTGAAGGATGAAAAGAAGTGTTTGTTTTGCTGTGCTACTGTGGGTGTTTTGCCTTTTGATGAAGTAGGTGCTGTTCTGTATGGCAGAAGGTGTTCAGGTTTTCATTCTGGCTAGGCCAGTGAAGTCTCACCTTCCCCGAAGGGAGGGCAAGGGAGCCTGCAGCAGTCGAGTGACTGCCTGTCCAGACTGCTCTCATGCTGGTAACAGCTTTCCTGTGCAGGGAAAGGGGAATGGGAGTCACTTCCAGCTTTTATAGCATTTTCTGTCAAAAGGTGCTGGAAAGAACAAGAACCTGAGCGTGTTTGTTTAATCAAAGCCCATCCTGCTATAAACAGTGTTATCTCTCCCTGCTGTTCTCTCTGATATGCTGAATAACTCAGCATTGTAGCATTTCATTCTCTTAATTTTTCTTTCTTTCTCTCTTTTTTTCCCCTGTTTTTGTGTAAATTGGTTCATGGTAAAAAACTTGTAGTTTTGAAATTACTCACATTTCAGACAGATCATTGATTTTATCCTGACACCCATTAGAGGCGAATCAAATTTTTTTTATTACCAATTTTTAGAGACAGGGGAAGTGACAGCTTTGATAAAGCAGGGAGCTAAGAGCTGCTGAGCATCTCTACTGAGCCATGTTTAGTGTGAAACCTGTCACTTGGTTCTCCTTTAATTGGGTTTCAGTCATCAGGAGATGAAAGCTTTGGGCTGGTGTTTGGATGCTCAGGTCTCCAAAATACATAGCAGCAGCTTTGGTTTTGGTGTAGGTTACAATGCACTCAAGTCACATGTAATCTACCACTGTTGTCTTACAATAGCTGTTGGCTTTCCAGGGAGGCCTGACCAGAGGAATTCCCCTTTTTCTTCTTGATGTCAGGAGATGTTCTGCTTTATTTGCTGAAGCTGCTTGTAAGATACTGCAGGGGAACAGTTAGCAAACAGCTCGAACTGGTGATTGAGCACCTGGCGAGGGATCGTGGGTCAATTGTTTGCAGCTGTGCTCTACAGGTGGCCAGAAGGGCTGCAGCCCCCCTGGGCTCATAAAAGGGCCAGCCATAGGAGGGGGAGCATCTCTTGGACCTGCGCTGCTTTTTGGGAAGGGGTGCTGTGTGTCTGGAGAGACCCTTTCCCAGTTGGGTGAGTTTGATTCTTCTTTCTTCATATGGCTATTAATCCATCTACTAATGCTTTGTTTGGTGTCACCAAGTACGTCTGTTAGAAGCACTTCTGCTTCTTTGTGAAGAGAATCTTCTGCTTCTTTGTGAAGAGAATGGATGCTAAAGCATCAAGTTTTTAAGGCTTCCTTTCAAAGTGGAAGGATCTGAAGCCTTCAGCATAGTTTTGCTAATTGTCTGCTTTCTGGTCGGTCATTAGTGGACATTAACATCAGCTGCCATTTCAATAGCTGGGCTTTTATGGTATAAAAATGAAGTGATTGTGGTTATAGACTGAGAACAAGATGCTCTTCTTTTTCTTGGCTTCCCACTTGTATCTGAGAGGTGGTTGCCAAAAGCAGCAGCTTCAGAGGAGTGGAGAAGAGAACAGGAATATGTAAACCAAATGCTCAAGTGTCAGCAGTGATCAGTATGTGCCTACCTGAATGGTGAAGATCTCAGAACTCCTTAGAGAAGAAAGCATCAGTGTTCCCATTTATTTTTTTCAGTTACTTGGAGCATAAAATATCTTAGTAAGCCAAGCTTAGAGAGATCCCCAAGTCTTTTTTGGGAGGCTGTGCTCGATCCTTTCTTCTATCAGTGCTGAGAAAATACACTGAAAAATATTATCATACACTCAGATAAGGTCACTGAGATTTTCTAAGTTTGATATGTTTTTTTATTCTCATCTCTGTAAGAAATGTAGTGGAAATGCTAAGTCATGGCCTGAACCACTGATTGAACACCTGGTGGGAAGGCAGGGCCAGCCCAGGGGGGCTCAGGTGCATGCAATGCAATGCAGCTGTGTGACCAGCAGGGAGGAGCCAGGATCCAGCCCTCACATAAGGGTTTGCAGTGGTGGTGAGGGGATCTTACTGGAGATCCCTGCCAACATGAGGCCTTTTGAAGTAAGCAGCTTCTTTCCTTTATTTTTGTGCCCATGGCTGTTGTATTTGAGCAAACCCTCACTTGCTGCAGCCTGGGACCTTGCTGCTCTGCTCTCCTTGCTGTGCTTTCTGTTGCATTATGCCACCAAACTAAATAAAGGTGTAAGAGCTGGGGGTGACATTAAGCAAAGTAGAAAGAAGATGATTCCTGACAAATCTTTGTAGTTCTTTTTTAAAAAAAATAAAACCTCCAACTTCTTGGAACTGTATCTGCTGAATGAAAGATGCATGAGAGGGATGTATTGAGGTTGTGAATTTGGAAGAGATGGGATTTAGAATCAGGGCTTTGAATGCATTACACTGGACTGAAGTCTGAGCTCACAAAGCCACGTGTGGTGAATGAAATCTGAGGATACACCTAATGTTTTTCTAGACAGAAACATCAGGGCTTGACTCTATTGATGTGTGGGGATGAAAGGCGGCTGCAGAAATATTTGCTGCCTTGTTACATTCCTCTGTGTCTCAGGGCAAAAAGCACGTGGCTTTTGCTCATCTCCACTTTGGCTGCTGGTAGCTGTAGGCTGTTCTGTGACCTGCAGGGCTGGACACACCACCCAGAGGGCACGTGGAAATACACTTCTGCATCAGATAGGTGTATGATTCACACTTCTGGAGCCCAGTGTTAGCAAATAAAGAAACCGAACTACTGATAGCTGTCTGCAGCTGCGTATATAACATCCGGCATCTCTTTGTATTCTTTGCTTGTGTGGGGACAATTTGAATTATGGCTGAAGGCACTCTCCACCTCCACACACCCCCTCTTCCGAAACCCTTGGCTCTTGACACCGGACTGCGGGCTGCATTGATTTTCCTTCACTGGTATAAAGACTTTAGCATGGATATTACTCACTGCTCAGGTCTTTACTGCTAATAAAAACCTCAGATTACAAAAGCACAAGAAAGGTTGGGGCTGTAGGGAAACGACACCCTGCTGAGGTGCCTCCCCTGTCACCCAGGATGTTATCTGAGCACAAACATCTGAGCGGTTGCTCAGCAGAAGGGTTCAAACAACATGTGAAAAGAGCAGGTTTAACTCAGTGTTATCTCCTCTCCCCCACTGTCTTGCTTTTGATGAAGCAAAATAGGCTGAGTCTTTAATCCGGGAAAACAAACCTGCTTTGACTGCTTGGCCCACGTTGGGTGGATTTGCTGAGGTCTCAAGTGAGAGGTTTGGTTTGTTAGTCGTAGGAAATGGTCTGGATGGTCTGCCCAAGTTGCTGGTGGAAACGTGTAACTTGGCCAGGAACAAAAGGGACAGATCAAATCAGTGCTTTTCGAATGAAGTGGGAGGAAAGACTTTGTGAAGTGTTCAATTAGCATTTCTGACTGCTTGGAGCCTCGTGTTTACGGGCAACCCGGCGGATGTGAAGTGTTCCTTATGCAAATACTACTCTCCTGCTTTTCCTGCTCTCCTCTATTCTTCGAGCTGAAGGAGAAGAGATTCTTCAACTTTGACTGCTTTAAGGAAGATTGATTAAAATCAGCTGCAGTTTGACTTAATTGGAACCATATGCTTGGTATGGGAGCAGGACTAGTTAGAAGTCCTTGTAATTAGTTCACAGCTGGTTGGTGGAAAAATGAAACTCCAGTTAGAGTCTGATAAGTGGATCTGTATAAATTAAAACAAAAAGCAAAAACAAGGAGGTTTTTTTTACACTGGGATGTATTTGGGCCTGAAAATTTTCTTTAGTCTGATAACCAAGCTAGCAGCCTTCTCCCTTCTTGTGTATGGAATCTTTTTTTTTTGCTGATTTCGGAGTAAGTGGTATCACCTATGGATGCTGGAAGTGAAAGAAATCTGAACAGTCACTGGAAGGGGATGCTGGAGACTTGATGAGACTCAAGGAGGGCGTCCTGGTTGTGTGAAAGGCTCATGGTTTGGCATGGGCTCTGCACTGATCAACTTTGAAAACAATGCCTATAGTCGTGGTAATTGGTGTCTTTAGCCTTTCTGCTGGTCAGTAATGTAATATCAGTAGTTATAAAAATGCAATGTTATTAATACATATTGGAACAACTTACTTTGAGGTAATGGGCAAAATGCTTTGAAAGGAGTTGACTAGTTATGAGTAGGAGTTTGTCTGAAAACCACCCCACACGACAGGAGGGGAACATGGTTTTTACATGTTGTTTTTTAATATAGAAGAGGAACAAAAGAGAAATGCTTTTGTGTGACACACAGCAGTGTAATTTTAGGCTGCTTTATTTAACCTGAGCACTGCTGTGCTGGCTCTGCTCTCTGGGTTCGCCTCAACCCTTCTGTTCTGGGGGTTTGGCACACAGGGCAGCTTTGGGTGCAGTGTCAGGATGGATCAGGGTGGTCTGCACTGTGACCTAAAGCTCTCCAAAGCCAGTCTCA